CCAAGACTGCAAGCATTCTCCCCTTTCACGTTCTTGGCTGCCATTGTCTGTAGCATCGTTGCTCAATCGTACCCCCGATATGTGAGCCTGTGTTATCATTTTTTAAGTGACATTAAAGTGAGATGGTGAAGATGATAAGTAGCCGGAATATTATTTTGTGGTGAGTTATATATGTGTACTGCCATTGTAAAGTGTTCCATTGTACCTTTACCCAGATATCAGCTTATATATATATGAACTAAAACAAAAATTATCCGCAGATGGTGTTCAAACCCAAGTCACAACGCATCGGAACCAAATACATGGATTCACAAGAAGATCCACACCTTTTGATTATGGGTACAAGATTCGACATCAAACTGAAACAGGACCATTTCTTCACTGGTGAGTACTGACACCTAAAACTAGTACTGTGTGGTGATAGATTGTGTACTATCCCTCATGACGACTGGGGAAAGTAGGTTGGTGGATAGTCGCTAGTTCTCTGTATTCCATTAATTTTTTTTATCTCCGTAACAGTAGCAAAATTACTATCAATAAAAAAGTGTAAATTTTTCAGATATACAACCTGTTTGTATCTCAAAGTGGTGTTTTAACTTAGGTATTACTAAGAGATGATGTTAGGCAGCGTGATGCAACAAGGGGTAACAAGAAATATATTTTGGGTCTTGTTGTGGAGGGGAAATAACATGGTGGAATACGTCTATCACAACAGTGGGGTTATAGATGAAGGGAGGGTCTGTGTTTGGTCCCGGGCAACATGCATTATAGCGGGAAAAAGACTTGAAAGGTTTTGAGGGTCGTGTGAAAATTAGGCACCCTAGCTTATTTTCCCTGATGATTTAATACCCTAACCTAACCCTCTGTGTGGTTTTTTCCCTCCTTATTCTTGTTTATTTAATATTCGTAGATGATTCGGTAAACTGTGTGCGTGGGTCTGATACAACACCGTGTGGACTCGAGCTGTCTCAAGGGTTGTGATCTTGGGATGATAGTTATGGGGCAGTGGTGTCAGTCTCGTGTTTACCTTCTGAGAGCCCGGATCACCCACCAACAGGCTAGGTTAGGTTGGGTTTGGTTTGGTTTTATGATGTGTGGAGTTGTAGATCTTAACTAATGTTTCGTCTTGTAGGTTATAGGTAGATGTGTATGTGTGGATGTTTTAAAGTTCTATTTGATTCGAGTAAACACACACACACACACACACACACACACACACACATTCTCCATTATCAGTTAATCACACACAAACAACCAAACCTTCTCCCTCTTACCTCCTCACAAATACCACACACACACACACACTGCAAATGCATTCACCAAACACTGCACTCATCCCTTCCTCTCTCCCTCCCTCCATATCTCTCTTCCATCCCTCGACCCCCCACCTCCTTCCCTCCCACCAAGCGGCAGTGTGTCATCAGCATGCAGCAGCACGACTCAACCCAGCACTCATCTGATCCATAAATCATAATAATTCTCCCGTGTAGACTCTTGGCCTTTTAGCTAACCCCAACATTTCCACACCCTTGGAGTTATTCTTGCGAGAGTTTGGTTGTAAATTTGTCTAATGGCTTTCAACTGTCCTTCTCCTCCTCCTTCCTGAACATTGATGTGCAGGTGTTATCTCGTATGTGTGTATGTATGTGCTTATATCGAAAAGTTAAATATTTGTGATGTGTAAAACTAAATCAGAATATGATTATGAATCCATGTTTAAAGATCGACTACACAACAACAGTATGAAGGTAATAACTGAGATTTTTCACCTTCCACCTTCGTAAAAGAAAAATTTGAGATTTTTGTGATAGTTGATGTACTTTAGAGTTATCTTTTAATGTGGTCAAAGCTTCATGTTATATTCTGGGTCGACTCTTGTTCTCACTATCGCCAAATTTGATATACAGTATTGAGTGATGATCATAATTGTGCAATATTAAATGTACAGAGCCAAAAGATAGACTGTCAGGGGATGAAAATGGAGGTGTTTGTCTCGTGGTCAGAATTATAGGTAAATAGCGAATGGCCAGTGAACAGTTAACATAATCTTGTGGGGTAATTGGTCTACGGACTAATTCTATCAGGTGGTGGAACGAGGTACAGTATTTCATAAATAATGTTACCCAATTCACTGGCGAGTCATGGAACTGTTATGAAATATTGAATGTCTAGAAATATTTAATAGCTGGTCATGGCTGTTTTTATTGGGAAATCTAAGGAAGAGATGATTGGTGTGTGTGTGTGTGTGTTCAGGAGGCTAATTCTATTCTGTGGGTGATTTTAATTCATATTTAGGTGTTATTAATATTGGCCGTCATGATTATTTGGTTTCATTGAATTTGTATATAATCACAACTGAAATTACGTTTTTTGTTTGTTTTTTGCACTCAGTCTCCCTTGAAATTATCTAATCCTAATTTAACCCAATTCGTAATCGTGGTGATTTCATGCAGGATCACACAGTCTAGGTTAGATTCATCAGACTCAGTATTCAAAGCAGTTCGTCACATTTAATATTTGCTACAATTCGTCCTCTTGAAATCAGTGAAGCGTAGTGTAATGCAGTCCAGTTTGTAATGTTAATGATCTAATGTACTGTACTCTATGAGCACAACGACTTTTGTATGCAGTATTTATCAAAATCACTTATACAGCAGAACCCGACATTAATAAGTCGGGTTTCACATGTACTGTACAGCGTCCTGTCATACATACAGGTGAATATTAATATACAAACACCTAACCTGTAGTAAATTATCCCCTTTTCGTTCAGTCAAGTCAGTGGGTTTATCTGTTGTGGCAGCCAGACTATTAAATGTTGTAAGCCATTGTGAAAACTTCATAAAGATAAGGCTTTGATTAATGAGGATTAGGGTAAAAACTGTCTTTGTCTTTAAAAAAGCTGTAAACATTTTGAACCTTGAGTCTACTGTAATAAATCCAGCGGCGTCTTGGTATCGATAGGATAGTCTTAATAGGTTTAATCTTAATAAATTATCAACTTTTAATCTGTAAAGTTTGTCCTCAGTATTTACAACAGTCGTAGTCAAGACATTATGCTGTGTCAGTGTGAATGTTTCGGTTATAATACATTAAGGTGTTGTATCTATACCAGCATCTTCAAGCACCGTTCACCAAGACTTAGTTTCTCCACTAGACAGCCAACCACTTGAAATTACGGGAAGGTGTTGGGGATATTCGTTTGTGTTCTTCCTTGAATTGCAGTTTTTCCCCGCGTTACCATGTCGACGGGTATCCTGTAAAAGGGTAAATCAGGCGAGGCCATAAATCCTGTTATGACAACCAACAGCCCAGCAGGTCTCAGGGATCCATTCTAACCACAAATGGTGAGATAGAAGGCAAGATTATGTTGAAAGCGTCTTCCAATTATGTGGTGTTGTGACGGGTCCTATACTAGCCTCCTGTGATTCATTAGTTCCAAGTTCAGGTTAGGTTAAGTTAGGTTATGCAAGGTTATGTTAGGATTAAGTTGGGTTTTGTAAGGTTAAGTTAGGTTAGAGTAGGTTTTGTAAGTTTAGTTTAGGTTAGATTAGGTTAACTATTGTAAGGGTATGTTAGATTAGGTTTTCTAAGGTTATATTAAGTTAGACCTTCAGATTAATAAACCGTCGAAAATAGACCGGTAACCGTTGTGAAGACTGACAATATTTGCGGTACTAACCAAGACTGACGTCACAGGAACAGCCGCCATAAGAGGGGTTAAAAAGTACCCAGCCATCGGGCCGGGTACAAGCTCTAGTATAATTAATTTTCATGGGTTGAGGTTACTGTGTGGAATCTCTGAGTCACAAGTTGCGAAAGCTGGCTGAGGAGGTCTGCCTTAACCATTACTTGCAGCCGCTTGAGTATATAGAATAATTATATTTTTATTTGTTTTCCTGTTATTTTTGAGAGAATAATTATATTGTTATTAGTTTTCCTGTTATTTTTTTGAGATTATATTGATATTTTATTATTTATGGAATCGTATTGTTTTTCAAGGTGGTATGCTGAAGGTTGGCGACCACGGCCCTCCAACACAAACGTTTTCCGATCTTTGTCTCCCAATCCTCCCAAGTTTTGTATTTCTCCGGGTCGACAGCTTTTAATTTTAATCATCTATCCCATTTTCTGTCTTCTCCTAGCCCACCTACCCCTAATTTTACCTATTTTTATGAGTTTTAATCTATTGTAACTCAAGTAAATTAGTATTTAGCAGATAAGAGATAACCCAAATAATCTAATCTAATGCAAATAATTCAAACTAATTCAAACTAATTATAATTATTTAACAAGTCCTAATAACTTAAACCATTCAAAATAACTTTACTTAACCTAAATATCTCATCTACGTAAGCTCAACCTGAATGGCGAAGGATTTAACAGTAAGATTGTGTAAAGTTTCTCTTGGTGGTGTGTGAGGGAGGAGGGTTGGCACGTGACTACTGTACTGGCTAGACACAGTATATCTACCATACACTTCCGTCGGGTAGAGTTGGTTCCTCTCTGTTGTCAACCTCTCAACCAGTACCGTCGCCAGCCTCACGTTGTCTTATCTGCCGTCTTTAACATCTCTCTTTATAACCAGAATATTGCCTCACGCAGGACACGGCGCTGTTGGCTAGGTATTATGTTGGGGGTCTGTTAGGTGTACAAAACGAGCCCAGGTGTTTTGTTTGGTGGAGTAGCCCGTATAGCAGGTGGGGAACGTTGGTAACTGTGAGACGGAGTGCAGATCCCCCAGCCTGTAGCAACACTGAACGACCTGGTCAGCACAAGGCTGTCTCCCACACGCTGCTCATATATCTCCACTTTATTTCGCAACTAACATTCTTTTTAACTGCGTCCCCATTTTAATTAAGTAACAACCACTTAAATAGATGAACTAATCATGTGGTATTGTGGTAGATAACTGGGTTAGTATTCTTAAATTTATAGACTAGGCAGTGTATTGCAACCCCGTGAAGCTGGACTTGCATCATCATTGCCGAGTCGTGCCCAGTGTCACTTGGGCAGCGAGCGGGTGAGGAAGGCAAGGTTCGGTGTGGCCGCTCTCTCCACCACTTGCTCCAATAATTGTGTGTGAAAATAAATTGAAAAAAATTTATAACCTTGGAATTCGACTGTTGTTGAACGAGGTGAACTGTTATGAAACACAAACAGTGCTCTGTGATAATGCTATTCGTTTCTGCCGAACTGTTGATGGATTTATGACTAATGAAGCGTTTTTTGGGAGTAGTGTATAGCCTATGCCTTGACCGCACATGCCAGAGAGGTTAGCTTCTTGGTAGACGTGAGGCGAGAGCTGTTGAGTTAACATGTTACCGTCCTCTCACGTTACAGTGTGAAGGAGGACAAGGTGCAGTTAACCCGTCCGTCTGAGGTTAGTTACGTGGTGTGACTTCACCGATACCCGTTTTTTTTTTTTGCTATTGTGTCAAAAGAGAGAACAGCTGTTTAAACAGTGTAACATGTGCACAACATTACATCCTCTCGTGTCAGTGTGAGTGATGTTATTGGCATAGTGTTGTTGAAGTTCTCGTGGACGTGTTTGCTCTCAGCTGATGTTGAATGTTATGTTACACAGAAAGTTTGCCTCTCGTTAGTATGCAAGAGGTGAATTGGTTCAGGGAAAAAACAGAATTGCAAAGTCTGTTTTATAATGATAAACAAATCGAAATCACTTATGTAAATTTACGCTTGGCCCTCACCAGGAAAGTTAACTGTTGCAGTGGGAATCCAAGCTGCATATTTCACCCCCTTGTATGAAATAACTACCTCGCGTATCTTAAAACCTTGAAATATAAGGCATAGAAACATTTACCAAATATAAAGCATTTAAACATTGTAAACAACAGTCCCTCGTGAAACTTATATGACCTGACGAGTTTTGTTGACATTTGCCCCAATTTTTTTTGTTTCCGGTGTGAGAATTACTGTGACAAATTCTCATACATGTTGGTGAGACATATCCATTATAAACAAGAGAATTATGTCATATTTGTTCTACCAGATGTCTTAAGAACCAGTTTTAACGTTAATTGTCCTGAAGAGTCATTTTAGTTCGAACTATTTTTATTTCACTTCATGTTTTGATAAACCAATTATGTTATTAATTTTATCTAAAGTCTTGGCTGTAATTTACATATTTACATTAATTGCTTTTAAGAGTTTATGTTCTTGTTCTTAGAAGTACAGTACGTGAAGTAATGACGTGTGATATCTGAGTGAAAAAAAAGTTAAATTACAACCACGAACACGATCTAGAAACCATTATTTTTTGGGGAAGCTGACTAATCAACTACACGTCATTAGGTTGGCTTAGGTTCGGATGATCAGCTAAAAAAAAAGTTATCGGTTTTAGTGGTCATGTTTTCCTGAAGTGATGGCACAGCCTGGCCTGGAACGTGAATCGATTTACCATTGTTTACACTTGGTCTTGGAGGTTTGTTTATGGTGGAGGGAGTAAACGGAGGCTTTGAACACACCCGTTATACCTCAGCTCATGTACCTTGATGTTTAGTCGCTTTTCTTTATATATAGAATTACATATATCAGTTATTAGTTCGATTTCTCTAGTACTGTAACTAATCTATCATAGGGGAGTGTACCCTATATTTGATCTGCTTTTAAATGTTATCTTTGTAGGTAAAACAACATCTCTTGTAGTAATCTTATCGTTAAAAAACATAAAGTTATTAAAATATTATAATTTTCTCAGAATGGTATGGGAAAATGTACTGTAGTAGTGGACCATATGCGGTTTTTTAACTCATCATTGCGTGAACTGATGGATGAGGGTTAGTCATAGGACTGGACACTTATTGCGGGTTTTTTTTCAAATTACACTCGAGAATTTCTGGCAAATGACCCGGATTTCACAGTTTAACCGCAGTCGTTCAAGCTAAACCAAGCGTCGACGATGTAGCCTGGTGGTGGTGTGTGTTGACAGCCGTGGAGGAGATAGTTGACGTCATAGATGCGCCACATTTTCTGTTCATCTAACATTCTAACGAGAAATGGGAACATTTTGGCTTTTTTTTTCCTACAATTATTCATTCGTTTAGAATACTCTTTTTGAAGCCTATGTTAAATTTATATATATTTTATTAATATCATTTAGTAGTCTAGATTTTTGGTGTTTTAAGTATGAAAAGAAGGTGTGGAAATACGTTAATTTTTCCTCACGTTGTATATGGTACCTTATCCCCTCTCAGAAATTAATAACGACACGGGAATACTCAACGACGTAGCCCCCACGAACGATTCTGAACCACACGGAGGCACTGACGACCCATCCTGGCGTGAGGCTGCTCCCAACACTCAGGATGTGACGACACTTGACTTGACAGGTGTGGGCGGCAAATGTTGTCGGTTTGGTACGTGTGTGAGGGAGACTCAGAGCGTACCAGTGAGAGCCTTGGTTGTATATAGACTACTCAAGAGTTCACAAGTGTCAGCATTGGAACATTATGATAAACGGAATAATCAAATCAACTCAAAACATTCGAATTCTATAACCAAATTGATTATAAAAGGCATCTGTGTGTACAATAATATATAACAAACAGTAAATTATAACACCTTTGCAACCAAGAAACATCGAAGCCAAAATGTTTATGTATATGAGTGAGATATAAACATGTTATCGAGTTCCAAAGACCATCAAACGTGACAGAACACAACACGCATAAAAACTTGTGTTCACACCTTCGTCAGCGCGTCAGGAACCAACTGCAGACGAGTCACACAGTATAAACCGTCGCCTACATCCACCAACGACAGAGGTAAGACTAACGGGTTTTTGATTTATGACCAAACTTTATCATTGTGGTTTTTTAAGAATGGCGACTCTCCGTTCCTCTTATATGTTTATTTTGTGAATAAAAGTGTCGCCATTTTGTGATGGTTATGAGTTGTAGTGATTGATAATGGAACGGTAATAGCATTTGTGAGTTGCAAGTAACGATATAGAGTGCTCAAGTAACGATATGAGTTGTTAAGTAACGATAGGACTGCTTTAGTAACGATATGGGTGCATAAATAACGATTATGATAACGATATGAGTGCTTATGTAAAGATTAAGTAACGATATGAGTGCTTATGTAAAGATTAAGTAACGATATGAGTGCTTATGTAAAGATTAAGTAACGATATGAGTGCTAAGTAACGATGCGAGTACTTAAGTAACGATACGAGTGCTTAAATAACGACATGAGTGATTAAGTAACGATTATGATAACGATATGAGTGCTTTAGTAACGATTAGGATAACGATTTGAGTGCTTAAGTAGCGATATGAGTGGTTAAGTAACGATAGGACTGCTTTAGTAACGATATGAATACTTAACGATTATATTAACGATATTAGTGCTTTAGTAACGATATGAATACTTAACTAACGATTTGGATAACGGTATGAATATCTAAATAACGATATGAATACTTAAACGATGATGATAACGATATGAATGCTTAAGAAACGATATGAATGCTTAAGAAACGATATGAATATTTAAGTAACGATTATAACTATAATATCCCATGCAAGACCATTCATTGGTTAGATTAGGTAAGGTAAGGCTAATACTCACTATAAGTCGGGTTAAATCAGAGTATAAGATGCTACCTTACTCAGTGGGTTATACTGTACAGGTGACTTAAGTTAATAGGTGATAATAGATTTTATCGTGGGATTATGGCGGCGTGTGGATGAATGGCTGAGTGTAATAAAATCTTGAGCTTTATTGAAAGTTTGTTTACATCTTTGTGTCTGTAAGTTAGTGGCTCTGTAAGTCGTTAAAGAGTCTATTTTTCACTGATTGTGCCTATAGGATGTTGATAATATTGCTTATAGTACAGCTGAGTGTAAAGTGTATAAATGATTCAGCTTTAACTCGAAAGGACTAGGTGAGGTGAGGTGTGTCTGAACTCTCATCAGTAATTAAGTTGCACCTGGAGAACATGAGTGACTTCCTTATTCAGTTTAGTGTTGCCGTGTAATTAGTAACACAACACGGTGGGTATCGGCAGTAAAGAACACCACTTAATTGTTCTTAATTACCATAAGATGATATATAGAGTGGATTAGCACTTGGCATAGATTATTAAAGTCAATTAGAGGTTTACCGTAGCGAATGGTTTGTGTGCGTGTGTGTGTCGGTGTGTGTGTGTGTGTGTGTCGGTGTGTGTGTGTGTGTGTCGGTGTGCGTGTGTGTGTGTCCGGTGTGCGTGTGTGTCGGGTGTGTGTGTGTGTGTGTGTGTCCGGTGTGTGTGTGTGTGTCGGTGTGTGTGTGTGTGTGTCGGTGTGTGTGTGTGTGTGTGTGTGTGTGTGTGTGTGTGTGTGTGTGTTACAGTATATAAGGACAGTGTACATATAAAGTCCTTCAGCTGTCATCATACATCATACTGAGCGAATGATTCATCACTTAATAATAATAATGTATAGTATACCAATACACTCTTCACTGTATCCTTGGGTTATACAAGTCCACTTATTCATTGCAGTTGTATCTCTCAACCTATTATTTATTGAATGATGATGCAGTGAATAATAATAATGCACATTTAAATTTGCACTTCGAGTTTGTGAATTTTGCAGCTGTCATCATCATCTTCTTCATCAGTAACACGCCTTTCATGTCTTGACCTTCACTACAGGGTATTATTGACGACCTTTTGTATTGCAGTCATAGCCTCACCTACCTAACACTCCTCCTTCGTGACTTATTGCTGGTTTTTTAGCCTCGCTTACTCGACGCCTTCCGACACGGTGAGATTTGAATGAATGGTGCATAAATTTTCAGCGTGATTTTTTTTTTGGGGGGGAGAGGTTATATTGTGATTTAAATTGTTCCTGGCCTTAGTATTTTAAATTATGCCTTTTTTTAACACTAGTATGAATTGATGATATAGCTCTCTCTCTCTCTCTCTCTCTCTCTCTCTCTCTCTCTCTCTCGAACATTATGATATGATACAAGGTTAACTTTCAACACATAGGCGTAACCGAGTGTAGGCCCCATAAAAAGGCAATCCTCATTAAGGTTACCGAATGTATAGACCCAAGCAAGCAGTAAAATGCTCCAAGTTTCATCCGCATAGTAATTTTCAGTGTAATTACTTCCAGGAAATCGTAGACTATCGTGTCAGTGTGTCAATGTGTGTGTCATTATGTTTATTATTATTCTTGATGTTATTTTAGATCCTGGTGCTACTCAAGCAAGGAATTGGCTAACTGGTTTGTGTATAAAACTCTGAAGGAGAAACAGTGGTCCACGCGCCCCACTTCCCTTGAATTAGAATGAATAAAGTAACAGATTAAATGTGAATTACAGTAGTTAAGAAAGACGAGTGATATTATTAGCTGAAATGAGATACTGTAATTGGATGAGAGGGTGTTACAAAAGGCTAATATGGAGTTTTAAGTTGTTAGTGTGTGTGTTTTGTGTGTGTGTGTGTGTGTGTGTGTGTGTGGAGTTTTAAGTTGTTAGTGTGTGTGTTTTGTGTGTGTGTATGTGTGTGTGTGTGGTCTAGGATAGTGTTTAAATAATTACCAACCTCTTTTGTTTATTTATTGTAATATTACAGAGAAGATTAGTAGCTAAATGTTGATACCTATTATTGATATTTTTTATTTTTCTATTTCGTTTCGTTTTCTCATCTGGACAGTAAGAGATTAATCTATCAGACAGTACGTAAAACCTCCCCAGTTAATATTTCCTCACTTGTTTCAACATAACTCCTAACTCAACTTGGAATCTCTTCATAAATTTCACTTCAAGTTTAATTTTCCAAGCTTCTTAACCCTTTGAAGACGATGGTTTAACCCTTTGAGGATGGTGTTTTAACCCTTTGAGAACGACGGTTTAACCTTTTGAGACCAATAATTTAACCCTTTGAGGACGATGGTTTACTACTTTTGAAGACGATGATTTAATCCCTTGATAACGATGATTAACCCTTGATAACGATGATTTGACCCGTGATAACGATGATTTAACCCTTGATAAAGAAGATTTAACCCTTTGATGACGATTATGTAACCCCTTTGATGACGATGATTTAACCCTTTGAGGACGATGATTTAACCCTTTGAGGACGATGTTTTAACCCTTTGATGACGATGTTTTAACCCTTTGAGGACGATGTTTTAACCCACCAGCCATCGTTTAAACTTACTTACTCCTCCCTCCTCTTTATTATTTTGGTGTGACCTTCAGATAAGTTCCTCATCATTTGTCCACTTCGCCGCGGACCTGACCAAACAATACCTCATTCCTCCTCCCATTATCTTCACAGCTCACAGTTGCTTCCGATGGAGGTGTTGGCTTATGTCGTCTATAGTGTAAATATCTCTTTTCTGATTAATATTGTTATCAGTTAAGAAAATAAGATAACAGTAGGTAATATTTCTTTTTATTTACTGGTGATCACTTTCGTTTATGTGGGTAGTGATTCTGGCAACGTTAATCAGTTGCCAGTTGGGAATGACATTGAAAATTAACAATCATAACAGGATACATTTATCAACATGTAATTTGATAACTTTGAATAGATAAAAATGGTTCGCTAGTTATCAAAACATCCAAAAACTAAACTTTGTCAAACTATTTTTTTTTAATGGAAGACGTTAATGTGTATTTTGTTATCAGTGGATTTTATTTGCAGTATTAAAGAAACTTCAGACAACGGCACATATCAAAAGTTTCTTCTCTCATTGGTTCAGGTAATTGTCTGTTAGCCATGATCTTTGAATCTGATTGGTTAAAAAAACAAAAACATTGAAGGTACGAGACCATATTTAATATTGTCCATGACTGCGGGTCTCGATACATGGGATTTTCAAATCAACTTTTCATATAATGTTAGACACTTTTGGATGACAGAACTGAACCCCGAACCTAGAACTGGATACGAATATTTATACAGTACTAATTTTTTTCCTTAGTTATGTCATATTTGGATTAGATTAAATTAGTTTAGATTAGATTAGAGGTACATTAAGCTGAGTTAAGATTGGATGAAGCTTATTTCCGGCTCCGTGGATTAGTTCTTTTGTTGTTGAATTATCGTGTTGTGGGTTGTGGTGCTTGACTGATATATAATTCTGGTTGCGTTGTCAGCCTGGGAATGACACACTTCAAACTACCATTCCCAATTTTAACTCATTTTATTTTTTTACATTGTTTGTGATGTAGCGTAGGTTAAGAAATGATATAGTACTGTATTTTAAAATGTGGTACGATATTATTTAAAGGTAATAACGAGTGTTTGCTGTATCGTAACCTCATCCCACAAAAGATTTTCCTTGTTGATCACTCACGATCTTGGAGACTTGAATGTAGTGGCAATGAAGAGATATTGGGACATTCCTGTGTGTCCGGGTTATATTTACTGATTCGTATTGGGCTATCAAGGTCCAATCATCTTTAAATCATGTAAATATCAAATGCACTTTCATAAATATTGTCGTTAAAATTATGCAGTATTTTCAGTGGTGTGTAATCGTATTTTCGTGTGCTATAAATTTTAGTGTATCATAATTAAAGTTTATATTTACGGTGGGAGATACGTACGTTTGTCTCTCAAGTGTTTATTGTAAAAGTTCATGACTTTAAACATTTGTCATATCTTCAACCTGTAGTTTCATCTATGTGTGTTTACTGTGTGCGGTATTGACGTTCTGTACAGAGTGAATTCCAACCAACTCCTGCTTTAAGTTTTTCTCATCTCGCACTGTTTGGTTGGTCTTATAGCTCGCCGTATATATCGTCTCGCGTCTATTTT